AATATTTTAAGGAATCTATACCGTTTACATATTATAGTTAATTAGTTATTGAATGCAAAACATGACAAGAGTTTTTTTTTTAAATAAAAGGGCCCAACCGGGTTCGAACCGGTGACCTCTTGATCTGCAGTCAAATGCTCTACCACTGAGCTATGGACCCATTTGAGGACAAGGGTAAACATTTTTATAAAACAAAATTTCATATCCAATTTATAATTATCAAATTAATTCACAATTTTTACATCTCCATTTCTCTCCCTCTTTAATTATGTAATATGTATTATTCAATTACCGTATATGATTCACAATTATATAATTTGATCATCATCTTATATAACTTTAATAATTAATAAAAATTTTATGATAAAATATTTGCTTGTAAAATAATAGTTCATGTTTTTTCTATAGTATAATAGCAATATTTTAATGAATTAATAGTGTATATATATATATGGTTTGTTTGTTTAATTTTTTTTACTTTTAAAAGCGTTTTTTTTAAATAAAATAAGAATTTTTGTGTATTTGTCTTATTTTTTTTTAAATAAGTAGTTTTTCATTTTCTTAAATAATTATTTTTTAAAATACTTATTTTTTAGTTTAAACAAACGAACCTATAATTTAAAAATTATAACATTATGTTTAAAATATAAGTAAATTTATCAAATATTTACTTATGATATAGTAATTAAACATTTTTTGTAAGTATAACATGTATGATAACTCTTTTTTGTTTACATAAAATACTTTTACACTAAATTATTGGTTTTTTTTTGTAACATTGAAAGTAGTAGAATGTTGTTGTTAATTTCATTAATTATATGTGATTGTGTTGAATTGTTGTTTTGTGTTGAGGAACTTTAGAATCTGAGGATTTCTTATGATTTTATATAGTTTTAGAGTTTCTCTGAGTAGACGTCAAGTTAGATATGTGGAAGAAAGGTATTTGAAGTTTTTATTTGAAATTGAGCTTCATAAGTTCAATTCCTTAGAAAACCTAGAGAGAGTAGTGAGAGAAACTCTAGAGATTCTAACTTCTTCTTTTCTTCCTAGCTTCTCAAGAGTGAGGAAAGATCTTGATTACGTGGTTGAGGAGATTCCAAACTATAGGAATATGGATTTAGAATTTATAGTTGGGTGGAAAGCTTGTTTCCTTCCTCTTCTCTTTCGAGATTCTCAAGTTCTAAAGCTAAGAGAAGTTGGAAATTCTTAACATTGTGAAGTTGTTAATGTGTTGTGGTTAATTTCCCTCTAAATTGCTATTGAGTTGCATGATTTTAAGTGGAACGACCCAAGTTGAGGTTTTAGAGTTTTGAAGCATGTTGACACGAAAAACGTGATTTGATTTCTAATTTTTGCATGTTGATTGAGTATATGTTGATTATAATGTATATAGTTAATGTGTAGTGTTGCATACTTGGAAGTTGCTGAATTTTAGGTGGAGGGATGCAATTTCATGTTCTACAATGGTAGAAATCTGATGTTGCACTGGGCATGGCTTTAATCTGAGGGCTTGTGTCTCACTCACGTCAGACGCATGATTTGTGATACCAGACTTAAGGAGAGATAATCATCTTGAGTTGACACCAAATAAGTGATGTATAGTCTTTCCTAACGTAGCTCTAATTCTTTAAAACAAATTCTTAACAAAATTTTGTTATGAAATTGACAGTTTGCTCATAAAGCAACAGCTATTCTGTTCTAAGCTTTCTTAACCAATTCTAAAATTGATAATAAGCTTATCCCTATAAAATAACAAGTACACCGTTGTAATTTTTCATAATTAACCTTCACTGCAATGACCAAATCGAAATGTTAATAAAACTATAAAAGTTACTAAATAAATAACATTTGTGTACGAGTATTTGCTCCATAGTAAAATAGATAAATAACAAATTACAATATTTAAACTTTATTTTAATATTAATAAACATTATCTTATATCATAAATAAAATTAATTTAACAATCACAGTATAAACAAAGAGAAAAAATTTAAAACAAATAGTTTGACACATTTTTTTTAATTATATAAATCGAATCTGCTTGAGTACAAAATTACAATAAATAACAAATACCCCTTTACACATATAAACAGAGTTGGTAAAAGAGAGGTATAAAAAAAATAGGAGAAAGAAAAAGAGAAAGATAATAATATATAAAGATAAGTTGAGGATTAGAAGAAGTGAAGATGGGACATTGCAGTGGTGAGGATGAAAGGGACTTGGAATTGATCCATTATCCATATGAAGTGTGCCAGGTCGACAGCGAATGAGGTTCACATGAAAAGTGTTCACTTCACATTTCATAGTATTCAACAATGATATCATTCACAACAGACTCTGAATTGTTACTGCAAAAAATCCGAAATCAGAATGCTTTTTTTTTGTTTTTTTTGACAAGAATAAGAATGCTTGTCAGTAGTTGCAAACTACAAACATGTCTTAAATTTATATTAAATGCCACACAATATGCTCCAAATTGTTTGGAGGTTTGATGTAATAACTAGAATTTTCTTTGCTATTTGAGAAAAATAACAACGGGTTCTGTTCAATTGAATGGTGTAAATTCTTTAAAAAGTTATCCTGAATCTCACGTCTTCTAAGTTCTAAACCTAACCTATCTAAACTTTTAAATACAAAAATAAACAAATACGGTTAAGTAAAGAGTTCCAGCTAAAAGTGATGGCCCGGAATTTTTTTTTAGTTACCACAAAATAGATTGATACTCCAGCTTTTAGCAAAACTATTTAATTTACAATAAAATAAAAATTGTAATTTTAATAATAATAATAATAATAATAATAATTTTTTTAAGAAGTATTTTTAATAATAATTAATTGTCAATAAAATGATAAATACTATGCACCTGGTAACAAAAGGTAATGATTAAGAAATTATAATTTTTTTATATTATAAAAATTATAATTTTTGTTTTTTTATCAATGCATTCTATCGTATTTTTTTTAATAGAAAATGATTAATTAATAATTCTTTAAATTAACATTTTTTTTAAAGAAATATGATAATGACTTTTTAATTAGTACTTTAAAACCAAATTGATAATTTTTATGATGAAGTAGAAGTTAATGTGATCACTTCTTCAAATACATCTAATATAAAATACTTAAATTTTTATAATTTTTTTTAATTATTCTAATTAATCTAATTCAATCTAATCTATTCGTGATTGGGTTAGGTTGAATTTTAAAAACAAATGTACAAATTCAATCTAAGCCAACTCACTAAATTTTAATTAAGTCCAACAATAGATTCATCCAAACTAAACTCAATTCAACTTGATTAAACCCCTAGATAGAGGAACTTATTTACATTAGTTGTGATTTGAGCTCAACTCTTTTTTTCCCCTTATTGGTAGGAATTTCTTTGATCTAAAATCTTCGGTAACAATTTTTTTTAATAATAAGTATTATTCAATATATAGGAAAAGAAGTTGACAACTAAAGAAATAGTTTATGTTTATTTATTCTTAATAAAATTTGTGTAAAAATTATGTTTAAATATATTTTTGATCCTCATAAAATAAGTAAATTTTGATTTTAATTTGTAAAATAAATTCTTTATTTTTATCCACATAAATTTAGAACTATTATTTTTAGTCATTGTTATTATATAATCATTTTTAACTACTCATTTATTTATTAAAATGTTAGTTGAATATCTAAGGAATTACCTATAATAATTAATAATATTATGTTAATATGTGAAACTTCTAATTTTTTTTATAGATCCTTAAAATAAATGTTTTATTTTACAACAATTTTAAAATAAATGTTGTTTATTTGTATTAAAATAACACTACGGAAAAAAATAATTTTAGATTTTAGAGGAATGAAAATATAAAAAAAACATATTTTACAGAAATTAAAATCAAAATTGACTCATTTTACAAGAATTTAAAATATTTTAAGAGAGCCAAAAATAATATTTACAAGTTCTAGAAGGGTAAAAATAAAGAAAAAAAAATACAAAGAGCAAGCTCATTTTATAAAAATAAAAAAATATCTAAACAAAACATTTACATTATAAATACATTTAAAGAATTTATTTTCATATGTTATTAATGTAAAACAAAAATATACTATCAATTAGTAAAAATAATATAACAAATTTTTTTAAGTGACTATTATAAAAAGTTTAAAAGCTAACTCCCTCTACGGTAAAATATGTAAAATATTGTGTGTGGAACTAAAATATAAGCAAACGTTAATTAATTGTATTTTACTTGATAATATTATTTTTAAAAATATTTTTCATTTAATTGATATTTTATTTTTAATAATTTTTATTTTATATCAAATTTTTATTAAAAATATTTTTAAAAAGTTGTACTTTAAATGAGATTAATAAGTTTAAATGATATTAACTTAATTTTCTTAATATAATTTACTTGTGAGAGTATACATTATGGAATATAAGTTATGTAAGTGTAGAAAAAAAATGGTTGAATATTGGTGTTAGTTTTCCTCTTGTCATTACTATTTTTTTTTATTTTTATAATTGGTAGGTATTATAATTGCATAAACTAATTAGGATTGGACCTATCAAAATGAGTTAATTCCTTAGAAATTTAACCTAGTGAATCAAGATTCAAATATTTTTTTAAATATATATTTATATTTACTAAACCTAATTCAAAATAGTATCGTTAAAAAACGTATATTGAAAAAAAAAGGTAATTACATTTTTTTTCCTTTAATTCTATGAAAATTTAATTTTTAGTTATTATAATTAAAAGTGTTTTATTTTTATTTTCCTATATATTATTATAATTCTTAAAAATTTTATAATTACATAAATTTTATCTCTTAGTATCGTAGAAATAATTGACAAAGATTAAAAATAATAGTATTGAAACTGAAATGAAACATTTATAATCATAGAAATTTAAAAAAAAAATGATACATGAACAAAATTGTAATTAAATAAAAATATTAAAAAAAAAAAAGAGTCACATAGTTAGGCATGACAGTGAGTTAGGCAAAAGCCCCCTAACAAAGAAGACGGTTATCTCCATGCTTCGTTCCCTCGTTTCCTCCGCCCCTTTACTTAACCCTCTTTCTGCAACTTATTTATATAACACTCACTTTTCTGCTTCCTTTTCCCTTCAATTCATAACACAACACTGAGCAAACGTTGTACCTTTGTTGCAGCCAGACCATGATGTCTTTCACTGCAACAAAGTTTGCACCCTCTCCTCTCCCTCTCAATTCCACCATTCCCAGATCCAATGACAAGCCTCTCTCTTTCTCCTTCGATCACTTCAAACCCCATCCTTCCTCTTCCTTCCTTGGATCCACTCGCACCCTTCTTCGCTTCGGTGCTCTCGCTAGGCCTCATGCTCGCACTCGCTCTTCTTCCCCTGTTTCCGCTGTTCTTCTCCAGCAAACCTCCAATCTGGTGACCCTTTCTCCTTCTTTCTTTGTTTTTGCTGCAAAAATCTCTGCTTTAGGTGGTTGGGTGTTGATTCTCTGAAATGGGTTTGGTTAGAAAAAATTTGAATTTTTCACTTAATTCAGCTCGTTTGAATTGGACCCAATTGGGTTTGTGAGCTGGATGATTCAAATGTTGATGTTTTTTTTTATTGAATTGTTATTTGGATTGCTGTATATTCTATTTCAGATGTGTGATGTATATGCTGTTACTTCACAATAATTATAAGTTACTTCACAATATGGTTGCGTTTTGGTAGTATTTTGGATAAACTACTTCAGGAGAAAAAGAAATAGGAAGGAAAATTGAAATATACTTTTCTATAAGCTAAAGCTAGCTTATGCATAAGATAAAAATAAGATTTTGGAGTAGTTAGTAAGAGAGGTTCTACCAATTATTTTATGTATAAGTTAATTTTAGTTCATTGGAGAAGCTTATTTCATTTTTCCATCCTAATTTTCTTTCCTAGAAATGTTTATAAAAAAAGTTATCCAAAACGGATCCTAGAAGTTTTGTTTTGGCCTGTTTAGATCAACTTTCCTTTGAGCACTTACAGCTGAAGAAAATAGGAAAGGAAAATGAATTAAACTTCTTGAATAAGCTAAAAATAAAATCATTTTTTGCATTTATTCTTATATAAGCCTTTTGCATTTAACTTATCTAGAAGCTGCGGTGCACAAATTAATTTAACGGAGAAATTCAATGTATTTTATCTTCTTTTTTATTTTCTTACAAGTGCTTATAGAAAAGTTTATTCACCCATGACCAAATTGTGTGTTATTTGTCCAATTGGCTTCTGAAGTTCAGATTATTGAAAATAGTCGGTGTTGCGCTACTAGTAATATGTTAGTTTGGAATTTTTTGTTTGGGAGTGTTTTGAGATTATTGTTTTTGTCTGGATTTGTGAGTGCAGCTTGTTACAAAGGAGGAAGGGTTGGAGCTCTATGAAGACATGATATTAGGGAGGTTCTTTGAAGACAAGTGTGCTGAGATGTATTACAGGGGCAAAATGTTTGGTTTCGTTCACTTGTACAATGGCCAAGAGGCTGTGTCAACTGGATTCATCAAGCTTCTGAAGAAGGAAGATAGTGTAGTGAGCACCTACAGAGATCATGTTCATGCATTGAGTAAGGGGGTCCCGTCTCGGCAAGTGATGAGTGAACTGTTTGGGAAGGCGACGGGATGTTGCCGAGGTCAGGGCGGTTCAATGCACATGTTCTCAAAAGAGCACAACTTGCTTGGTGGGTTTGCCTTCATTGGTGAAGGAATTCCAGTGGCCACTGGGGCTGCATTTACAAACAAGTACAAAAGAGAGGTGTTGAATCAGGCAGATGCTGATCATGTGACATTGGCATTTTTTGGAGATGGAACTTGTAATAATGGGCAGTTCTTTGAATGCCTGAACATGGCAGCTCTGTGGAAATTGCCAATTGTGTTTGTGGTGGAGAATAATTTGTGGGCTATTGGGATGTCTCATCTCAGGGCAACTTCAGATCCTCAGATATATAAGAAAGGGCCTGCATTTGGAATGCCAGGGGTTCATGTGGACGGAATGGATGTTTTGAAGGTCAGAGAGGTGGCAAAGGAGGCAATTCAGAGGGCTAGAAGGGGAGAGGGACCAACTCTAGTTGAATGTGAGACCTATAGATTCAGAGGACATTCTTTGGCTGATCCCGATGAGCTTCGTGACCCTGGTCAGCATTTATTTAGATACTATATTCTCTCCCTATGTTCTTAATTTTCAACTACATATGTTGACATTCCTTTGCGTTTCTGGTGGTATACTTACTATGCATAATCCTTGAACAATTTCGTTGGCATATCTTTAGCAATTTTAATTGATGGAGTTGAACTCCCTCCCGGTCATGCACTTTAAACTTTCTAACTGTGTAAAGAGGTATTATGCTTAATTAGTGAAGAGTTTGATGGTCTAAACATAAACAACCCATTTCTTAAACTTTAGCTATCATCCTCAAACATGGTATACTTTTTAAAGATTGTTTATGCTTGACTATGATACATTTTGATTCCTTTGGTACATATCTTGGTTAGAAAAAAAAACTAATAGTTTGAAAAGCCAGTAGTAGTAGGTAGAGTTGAGAGGAAGACTACTGTAGTTATTAAACTGGCTGAGAGTATACACAAAATTATAATTTGGTATATTTTTCAAGTCTTGTGTGTGTGTATGTGGTGTTCATAATTATTATTAACCATAATTTCTTTCTGCTTTGGCAGCTGAGAAGGAACACTATGCTGGTAGGGACCCCATCGCTGCATTGAAGAAATACCTTTTTGAGAACAACTTGGCCAATGAACAAGAATTGAAGGCCATAGAGAAGAAAATCGACGAGGTCCTCGAGGACGCGGTTGAGTTTGCAGATAATAGCCCTCTTCCACCCCGCAGTCAGCTTCTGGAGAATGTGTTTGCTGATCCAAAAGGCTTTGGAATTGGACCAGATGGCAGTTATAGATGTGAGGATCCTAAATTCACTCAAGGCACGGCTCATGTCTAATCTTTTCTTGCTTTGGTCTCAGTTTTGTATGATTGTTCTTTTCTTATGCTTTGTTAGTGATAAAATGCTACACAATGCAATTACCTTGTCTAATATAAACAGGATTTGTTCTTTAGGTTGGAAATTTGGTTTTATGTGTCTTATATATTTATCATTGTTTGTGGAATTAGTGTCAAGAATGACAATCTCCAGAGTTAGATTATAGTCTCTACCAACGGTGTACAATAAAATTTTAGTTGTACCACTTTGTCTTGCTTTGTATCAATACTTCTAGTGAACTCATCTGGTGACTTGTGTTGCACTCGCACAATGCAACACTTGATGTTTAATACTATTAGTTTACTACTTTATTATTTGTTATTAAAATGTTGTTGTGTGTCTATTTGAAAAATATGAACTTTTTTCTTAAAAATTAACGAAACACAAACGAGTATTTAACATTTAGGTTAGAAAAACCTAACAAACTAGCCGAGAAGTAATCTGTTATTGAGTATTGACCTGTTCATTTACTAGTGTTAATTTATACATGCTTCATGTCAACAAAAAAATATAATCGTTATTAATAATGAACGTTGAAAACTTGGTGCCAATATCACTACAAGTGATGAAAGGCTAAATGTAGTTTTGTACACTTTGCAAGAGATATTTTACGAAAATATTATTTTTAAATGATTGAATCTACGTCGACGATAGTATCTAACTGGACTCCTTTAGATTGGATTGTCCTGCAGAAAAAATGCTGATTTGTTCTAGTTATTTTTCAGGACAAGTTAAAAATTTGATGAATAAAAAAAATGTAAAAACCTAATCAAATAAGTAAAAGCTAGTGACAAAATGTTTGAGTATTTTTTATATTTGATTTTTTTAATTAGTTATTCAAGAATACTTTTACGCAGAGTATTATTATAATATTATCTATGATCTTAAAAGTTATATTTATGTTAATTTAAAATTTTACTTTTCTCTTTTTATAGTTTTATTTTAATTTATTATTTCATATATTATACAATTTTTAAAAATACCTAGTTGTCACTAATTTAATTAAGAATGTAATTAAATTATTCCATATCAACATTTAAACCTTTTCATTCAACAATATTAATACTAAAAAAATTACGTTTATTAATGTAAATAATTTTTCAATTTTAAATTTCCTTATAATTTTACTTTACATTTTAGTTTCTATAATTTAAAATATGTCATTTTTAATCCATATACTTTTATTTTTCAATCATTTTTAGTCACTATAGTTTAAGATAAAAATTTTTAATCTCTATATTTATAGTTTTTTTTTTAACTTTTTTTTTTAGTTTTTATTGTTAATTTTGTTTGTAATATTTTATATTTATGTGGTAAAGGTTTTCAATTTTGTAAAAAAAAAATATCTCAATAATAGAAGTCGCAAATAAAAATACAATAAAGACACGTTGATAGACTTAATTTAAAATAAACCTCACAAAATGAATTTGCATTTGACATAATTAAATTAATATCCCTATTACACATCAACACAATAAAGATAACATTACAAAAAGAAAGTTAAAGATGGAGACTAAAATAATTTAAAAAATTGTAAGTATAATAAGATTTAAAAAAATTATTTTAAGTTATGAAAATTATAAAGATTGAAAAGAATAATTATAAGGTTTATAAGATTTATTTTAAATTATAAGCAGGAAAAAGATGTAAATAAAATTATATAGATAAAAACCATATTTTCACCTATAAAAAAATACATTAAAACAAGTCTTGCAATAGCACTGAGATCTTGAATTTCTTACGGCTAGCATAATTGGTTAGATACTCATGCTCTGAGAGAAAAATAAAATGGAAAATGCAAGGCAACAATTACACTCATGACTCATTTTCACGCATTTGTGGTAGTGACACAGTCTTCCTTTGTTCTCACTCTAAGAATGAAACTGTACAAATCCCAACTGAAATGATTCATTTCGTTTGGTCTAACGATCCGTCTGATCACTACACTTATTACGATTGAACAACAACTAAGTGGAAGCATTAGCGTCAAACATTAGCCTAGGATATCATGCAACAAGTAGTTAAATCTCATGCAAGTAGTCATATATGTAAGAAATAAAACAATTATTCTTGAATGTATATACATACTTAATACAGAAGAAGTAACTACTATATACAAGATAATCCTTGTCATCGATCAAGCATCTATACAAGACCTAGCTACCTCAGAGTAGCAACATCAAAAGAAAGTCACCTCCAATGTGACTCACCACCGAATAGCACCACTCGACTTGTTAATCCTATCTTACTCTCATACCAAGTATGATCATATCAATCCCAAACTACAAGGGAAAACATACGGTAAGCTAGTGATACAAGATCATCGTCATACAACAACATGCAACATAAATAAAATAAGATAAACATCATTTATTACATCATATCAGGTCTCATCATACAATTTAAGATCATTAGACAACATCATACTCACAACTTTCATTAAATAATATCTTTTACATCTTTACACCTTCAATTTAACCATTTCTGGTATGCACGTATACACATTATTAGACAACATGTACAATTACATCATCAATACATCATAAACATTATAAAATAACACAAACATACATTCGACTATCATCCACCTCAACGCCTTCAATAGAACAACATGATCTACAAACATAAATACAATTGATACGCTGTCACACATATCAACTACGAAGATCTCCTACAATTGAGGTGAACAATTTAAGTGACTTGTCCCTACCGAATCATAGCGTTAGATCTATCTCAATCAAGTCAAGTATAGTATAACGTTAGGCTTCATAAGAGAGCTAGGTATAGACAACTTAGTTTGATTTCTCAAGCTTTTCCACTTAAACAATGAAGTATGGTACTATGTTAGGATAGAACAATTTGGATATGGACCTACCATAACATTAGTCTACAACAATAGGTCTCTTATGAGATTAACCCACCGACTACCCTCCAAATACCACAACCCTCTAATAATAGGTTAGAGACTAAGTCTCCAACCCGGTACATTACTTGGTTGATCGCTTTATACATGTGTGCCTCGATCTTGCCTACACACAAAATACCATATAGAACATAGAGGAGACAACTAAAAACAATATACCCATTGAGAAGCCAACTTACTTACTAAAGGATTCAACATAACTTATATCCTCACAATGGGATATTAAAATTTGAAAACATCTTTAACTCTCTTATAGTTTCTATGTATCGTAGCTAAGAAATGTATTTATCCCACATATTTATAATTTATCAACTTAACAACTTATTCATCTTTCATCATTCAAGGTAACAACTTTAACAACATGCAACTTTCAACTTTTAACTTCACATCATGTCAACTTAAACAACATAAACAACATACATCTTTATAATTACAAAATTCACATCCTGAGAAAAATAACATTATGAATCAACTTAAATAAGTAGAACAACTTACAACTTTAACAATTGTCAGCATCCATCTTACAACTATAAGACAAATTAAAACATTAACGCAATATAACAGCTTAATATCAAAGTAGCTTTACAACTTTAAGCATACATCAACAAAAATAATATCTTAACAATCAATTGAAAACAATCAAAAAATCTAACAACTGAATAACTTAAAACACAACTTACAACATAATTAGAGTTCCACTAACCCAATCAAACTAGTATTTATCTCATATGAAAGACAATTTTTTTTTTACAACTTTCATGAAGAACTTAGGTTTTAATTCCATTATCTACCATGTTAAAAATTGTAAAAACTACAACTGTTTGTCTAAATGTTGACAGCTTGACCTTTTTTCACTAAAAAGGTCATAACTAGAGTTTTAGACCTCCTTTTTAAGTGATTCTAAAACCATTCAAAATTTAACATATAAGGCTACAACTTTTATGAAGACAACAAAACCTAATTCAAAAGACAACTAATCCAATCAGTACATTCAAATCCGCTCAATGGATTTTGAATCAGGTAGCTTTAGCCTCAAATCGACTCAGCCCTTTAAGAACCGCTCAAACCTTTTAAATCCGCTCGGCCCTTTAAAATCCGCTCAACCTTTTGCCTCTAGAGATACCCTTGATTCACGGTCTTAAATCCGCTAAACCATTTCATGATAGAGACCATCATTGATTTTTCACGATTTTGGAGTTTCTAATCCTTTTTAATCCATCCCAACTCACCTACAAGCTTCAATACTCGAATCAAAACCATCAAAACTCATCTAAATAACTAGAATACATAAAAAACAATTGAAGATTAACACAAAACAGACATGTAGCCATATATTTCAACATGGCTAAAACCCTAATTTGGTCCCTTATAATATTTTAAAGTTTCAATTTAGTCCCACTTTAATTTTTTATTTCAATTTGGTCCCTAATAATTTAAATTACTGCAATGTCGGACTTCCGTCCAAATTTCTTAAACGGAGTTAACTGTTGGCCACGTGGATACCACGTAGATGCATAGGTGGCAAAGTCTCATTGTCCTCTTCCTCCTCATTCTTTAATGCATCTAGAACGGCCCGTTCTGAAACTAAAACGGCCCATTCTGTTTGCACTCGTCGTGTGTTAATTTTGCATCTGGAGTGACCCATTCCAGATGCATTATTTAACACACAACGAGTGCAAGCAGAATGGGCCATTCTAAAACCAGAAAGGATCGTTCTAGATTCAGAACGGACCGTTACAGAACGACAACCACATACATATGTTCAACAAAATGCAGCAATGTGGTTCAAAGATTGAAAACAAAAATTCATAACATAACATGAATTCAAAGACTAAAATATGGTTTAGAGACTGAAAATAAAAATTCATAACATAACATATACTAAGAAAGTTCAAAGAAATTACTGAGGAGGGAAATCATTTGGATAACGCTGAAGGTGCCAATTATACACCCTATCCACCATATAATTATAGTATTGTTGGCGTTCATCCATCTCTTGCAATCGACGATCTATACACTGAATGACTGACAGAATATCAACATTATCTACTTGTACATGTGGATGTGTGGTAAAATGTTGGTCCTGTGTGTCCTCTTCCTCTACTTCAGGTTGTACCTCCTCAAGAACAAGTTGTTGTTGTTGGGGTACATCGGTCAATGACTCCAAGGGAAAACACCATGTTGTTTCATCCTTGACTGTATAGTGCCGATTTGGTAGTAAGTGGTTCATTCCAGTTTGACTAACAATGAAATAAAACCTGACACCATTGTCCTTAGTGATACACTACATTGCATAACAAGTATTATAATTAATACTTTTAGGAGCTCTTATTTCCTGCAATTGGTCCAAAAATGGTGTATAGTCCAAATGTTTAGCAATTGAAGTTATCAATCCCCCATTGACAATATTACCAAATCTAATGTTTGAAATGTTTTGTACCTTGGGTTTTTTTTTCCTTGCGCGATTCACAATCGTGATTTTAGAATCACGGGCGTGAACTATAATCATTGACTATTTGTGGTTGACGTTCTAAAATCAGAACGACCTGTTTTACTTGCACTCGTTGTATGTTAATTTTACATCTGGAATAGGCCGTTCTATCTGTTGAGGTCACTTTCTTAAGAAGTATGATATTGACTTCTTGTCTTTATGGTGTTATAATAATTGCTTGTATTAATTTATTTCATTATTTCCTAGGTGTTTGATATGAAATTTTCTTGTTTTTCACTGAAGGATGTTGGTGGGTATTCAGATGAATTCTAAAAGGAGTTTTAATAAAATGAACTCTTCCACCAAGAGAATTTTGTACTATGAAGCTCCTCGTAAGTTGTATGTTGGCAATATAGTTGGTGCAAGAGTATTGCATGCCCTTCTCTCCTTTCTATCAGAGGCAGAACGTGATGCACCAGTGTCTCTCAATGGAACACTAATAACTGCCTCAACCACTTTATAATACCTCATTCATACTCCTATCATCCAAAATATCAAAGATTTACTTGCAAAGCCAACCTCGTTCAAACCTTACGTCAGGATCAATTCCCACACAATTAATTAAGCATTCATATGCTTGCAGATAATGTTGGGGTTGAATTCCTCATATTGTAGCGTCTTTTATCTTCCTTTTTCCTTTTCCTGTTGTTTTCTTCGAACAAAAACAAAATGTTGAATCATTGGTCACATTCTACCAAACACTTTCTCTTAACTGACAAAATGATAGCGTGATATATTAAGTTCTTGCACTAAGGCAATTTGACACATATACTTTAATTTTCTATAAACAATCTTTTAGTTAAAAAAATGAAGAAATTGATCATCATTCACATCAATAAATCAACATCTCCAAAGTGTAATGATTTTTTTTAGCTTTATATAAAATAAATAAGAAATTAGTCTAGTAATCAAAACAAAACTCAATTACGAAATAAATGTACCTTGAAAAGCCAAAAACGACAAAGAATTCAAAAATATTTATAAAATGAAGAGAGACATGCAGTCTTAATAGTTAAAAGAGTAATGCAAAATGGTTTAAACAGGAAAAGAATAAAGGGTATAAAATTAAAAATGGTTGGGGACACACTAAAAGAAAATTGATAAACAAAATGTTCGGTCAAATTTTTGCAATATTACTCCAATTTGAGTTCCTATACACAACTAACAAAGCACACTCCTGTATAAATTCCATTCTTGTAGCTTTCGTAAAAGGTCATAGAACATTGAGGTTTCACCTGTTATAAATTAATATGAATATAAAATAACATGAATATAAATCTTTACTAATAATGAATGAATTACTCCAAGTCGTGTACACAGTTTGCTTACCTATTGTATCCCTAATAGCGGTTAAAAAATTACATAAATTTGCAAATAAAAGCAAAAAATTGTCAAGAAAAAAATATTATTCTCTATTTTTTTACAGAAGTACTAAGCTCCTTTTTTTTTCTTGCTAGTAAATATATCAAAAATGTTATTAAACTGAAAGTAAACCATGAAAAAAAAACCATAAAAGAAAAAAAAATGATTTCATAGAAAATGTACTTGTGATAATAAACCTTCATGACTTGTAGTTAATTAAAATGAAAATTAATGTATCGATTTTAAATATTTAACTCTTATAGTCAAATAAGCATATTAAAAACAATAATAAAGCATATTAGAATACCGACGGTAATTCAACTATTGCGATAAGATAAAATGAATTTCCCTGCTAGTTCCATCATTCTACAAACATGTACCGACGTTATTCACTTTTAATATAGAATATGAATAGGAAAGATTAGAATATGAATATATATATATATATATATATATATATAGATATTATTAGTTTTGCATCATCTTTCTTATTTTATTGACCATTTATGATAATGTTTGAGGATAATTTCAACGTCAAATTTTCATTTATGCCATCACATTTTTTACTAAAACTTACACATCTTTTAATACATAGAAAAATAAATTAGAAAATCAATCAGTTAATTTGTTCCATAAGTCAAATAAAGAATTATTCGGATATCTAGCCATTAATCAAAAGTTTTATTTATCCTTTTTCATCCCTCCCTACTTGTTAGTCTCTAATTTGTCTAAAATTCATTCCCTCTCTCTTCTATATTTTGTTTATATTAGGTGTCAAATAAAAGGGAAAGAAAAATAAACTTGAAGAAAAAGAGAAGAAAAAAAATAGAAGAAAAAAAATGTGTTTGGGTTACATTAATAAAAATAAAGAGGCCGGAAAGGAGTGAAGAAATTGATCTCTATTTATTGGAAAGAGTAGAAAAAAAGAAAGTAATAATAAATAAATAAAATATTTGCAATGTATTTTTACATTAATTAAAAAAATTAATGTGTTTACTACATTATTTATTTAAAATGAAATGATTTATTATATTCTCTATTTTTCTCTTAAAAAGTTATTTAATTTGTATAAAATGAAAACAAAATAAAAAAAATGAAAAGAGAAATGTCAATTTGGATATTTTTTTTTATAATCCTAGAAAATCTCTTACTTCCTTAATTATTTCTCCTTTATATGGTGAAAATATGACATTTGTATCGACACATTTTTGTCCAAGTAAAATTGAGGTTTAGAATTTAAGTTTTTTAGATGAAATGAATATGTTTATTTCATTTAAGATATTAGTTAAATTTTTTAACCAAAATTAATTAATAAATATTTTGCACCAATAATATGATGACTAATAAATAAAATACTTGACATATTTATTTAATTTTTCATTTTCTTCCGCTTTATTTTTACGTAAACAAACAAAATAACTTGCACATAAACCACATTGCATGCATATCATGTGAAAAAAATTGTTTATCACCTTTTTCTTAATTTAATAAGAAATTTGATATGGCCTGCCAATTATATTCGAGTCTTTTGGACAGAATAAAGTGTGTCTACTTTATAAATAATAACTAGTCAACTTTCTTAATATAAATAAGTCAATTAACAAAATTATAAATATTTTACATTAATAATATGATAACCAAATGAAATACTTGACAATTTTATTCAATTTCTTCTTTTCTATTTCCTTCCACTTCATTTCTACCCAAACAAACAAAATTACTTGAACATAAACCACATTGCATATATCCATGAAAATAGATCCTCCCGTAAATTTCTATATACATATCTTGTAAAAAATTGATTATCACTTTTTTTAATTAATTAAAAATTTAATATGGCCATCCTATTATATGAAAGGATTCATTCACCTGTGTATCTATAAATTAAATTCTTCACATCAAGGCCTTATAGCTATTATTCATCCAAGACAGGCCTTAGTATTCTCATCACCCAAAGGTTTATGGGTGACATTCTTTCATTTCCATGATGGAGCTCCAAAACCATTCCGAGTCTATTGGGTTTAGGTTTGATCCTACTGATGATATTCTTGCGGGTTACTACCTAAGGAGAATCTTAGCTCAATCACTCCCTAATGATGTCATTCAAGAATATGATGTGTTTCAAACTCAGCCTTGGGGGCTGCCAGGAGGTTTGTCAAGAAAATATAAAACTAAATGCTCTCTTTCTATTTAATGCTTTGTGAAAATCCTAAGATAAATTAAGAATTAAAATGATTTTTCTTTTTACCGGTGTAAAAGAACACTCTCGTAATTTCTAATGTAATTATATTATAATCTTTAATAAAACTTTTTTTACTATTGATTTCCTAATCATTCTCTCAAGGATATTGACTAGAACAATTTTTTTTTTTTTATAAACTTGACCCAGGAAAAAATGTGTCTTGTCTAAGAAATCACATTCAAATTTCAGTGTCCCTTGTATGCTTATGTGTGGGAACAAATAAATGAGCAAAAATAATATCATCACATTCTTGAAATAAAAAAGGTTAAAAACTTAATTTGGTCCCTTATAATATTTTTAGTTTCAATCAAGTCTCACTTTAATTTTTTGTTTCAATTTGGTCCCTAATAATTTAAATTACTATAATGTCTGACTTTTCGTCCAAATTTTTTAAACTGAGTTAACTATTGGTCACGTGGATGCCATGTAGATGCATAGGTGACATGGTCCCATACGTCTTCTTTAATGCATCTGGAACGGCCCGTTCTGAAACCAGAACGACCTCCATTTTGATTGCTCTCATTGTGTATTAATTTTGCATCTGGAATGGCCCGTTCCAGTTGCATTATTTAACACACAAAGAGTAAAGGCAGAACGGGCCGTTCTGGATTTAGAACGGGTCGTTCTAGAACGCCCACCACGTCTGTATGTTCAACAAAATGCAGTAATGTGATTCAAAGATTGAAAACAAAAATTCATAACATAACATAAATTCAAATACTGCAATATGGTTCAGAAACAGAAAACAAAAATTCATAACATAACATATACTAAAAAATTTCAAAGAAATTACTAAGGAGGGAAATAAAATCATGTCGTTTCATTCTTGACTGTATAGTGTCGATTTAGTAGTAAGTGGTTCACTCCAGTTTGACTAATAATGAAATAAAACCTATCATCATTGTCCTTAGTGATACACTGCATTGCATAACAAGTATTATAATTAATACTTCTAAGAGCTCCTATATCATGCAATTGGTCCAAAAAAGGTGTATAGCCCAAATGTTTAGCAATTGAAGTTATCAATCTCTCATTGACAATATTACCAAATTCAGTGTTTGAAATGCTTTGTACCTTGGGTTTTTTTTTCCTTACACGATTCATAACCGTGATTTAGAATCATGGGCGTGAACTATAATCATTGACCGTTTACAGTTGGCGTTCTGGAACCAGAATGACCCGTTCTGATTGCACTCTTTGTGTGTTAATTTTGCATCTGGAACGGGTCGTTCTAGAAGCAAAATTAACACACAGTGAGTGCAAGCAAAACGGGCTGTTCCGGTTTCAGAACGGGCCGTTCCAGATGCATTAAAGAAGACGTATGGGGCCTTGCCACCTACGCATCTAAGTGGCATCTACGTGGCATCCACGTGGCCAACAATTAACTCCATTTAAGAAATTTGGACGGAAGGTCTGACATTGTAGTAATTTAAATTATTAGGGACCAAATTGAAATAAAAAATTAAAGTGAGACTAAATTGAAACTAAAAAATATTATAAGAGATCAAATTAGGTTTTAACCTAATAAAAATAGTGTTTGTTTTCCTAATTGTGTGTGTTCCAGGTGAGAAGCATCTGAATTGGCTGAAGTTTTTCTTCTACAATATTGGGGCTCGTGTGTTCGAAAACCCTGATAAGAGAGTTGCTGGGAATGGCCAATGGAGAATAATGGAGAAAGATGAAGATTTTCAGCTCCCTACCAAACTGCAGTGGATTGCCAAGAGAAACATTTTGGTTTTCTGGGAAGCCAAAGGAAACCGTTTTACTGAAACAAATTGGATGATGCATGAGTTCCACCTTGCCCCAAAATCAAATCCATCTCAGGTAAACATTATCATTAATACAATTGTGTCCACCATCATCACTATCAAAATTGTTCAACAGCTAGCTTAAAAGTAGTAATGCCTTTTGTGCTCAGTTGAAACACTAATATGATTATATGAGTATTGGATTTTCTTGAAAATATTCTTAGAGGTCTTATTAATCAATAAAACACACAGAAGATTAAATATTAAAATTAAAGTTGGAGGTAATTGTACTGTCTCAAAACTATCTTGAGAGAGACTATCCAATTATATAATAGTCAAGTTAGCATTGAGTTAAGATATTTATTGAGATAAGAGATTTAATCCAGAATTAATACCACTAATGCATATATTAAATCTCATAATATAACATTAATTATTTTGATGTTTTAAAATAGAAACTACATAAATTATAAAATTCATAAATTATGATAACTCTGATATAAATAGATAAAAAAAATTACATATTTTTTAATGATCTAGACTTAGATTCTAACTAAGTATTTTCTAGTGTGTTTTCCATTCTAGAACAAGTATGGTGCCATATATATATAT